TGTATCTAGGGCATAAATTCTTGGAAGTGAATCAAAAGGGGTTAAATCTGGGTCAAAGGGTAGTTTCATTTGAATGTTTGACAGATACTTCATAACCCACTACAGGAATTGTAACATTTTGCAATGAATAAGAATTTCCCCAAAGTATCACCAACAGGTTTGTTGTCAGATTCTCAAATGTTTGCAAAAATGATATCCCAGTGTGTTTTAGTTTTCCTTCTGTTATTACAACTGAGTTTAAGCACACTTTCAGATATTCAAAGAGATTGGTGTTTATTTCTCTGTGAACTTTCTTGTCTTTTTTTTTTCTTTTAGGATGTTGGCTTTTTTTTTTTTTTTTAAATCAAGTCCTAGGAGTTCTTCATGTGTAAAGGATGGAATTGTCTTCCCAGTTCATAACTGTAAATCATCAGTTATGCAATACTTGATATAGGGTTTGGAAGCACAAGAAAATGATGTTTCTCATTAGAACAGAAAGCGGTACACAATTTTCAAGCTCCAAAATCATGGAACCCCACTATCCCATCACTTGTGGTATTGAGCCGCCAGAGACATTACTCAGATGTCTCTTCAGAAAGAGCTAATGTAACAATAAACAAACTTATTTTAACAATAAACAAACAACAAATTTATTGTACGGACTCAGTTCAGAGCCTGAAAGTGATGATCAGGATAAAGGTGACTTTCTGTCGCTCCACTTGGAAGAAAAGGCAAAGATTTTTCCTCTAATATCCTAGTGGAAATCAGAGCTTTCAATGGACACCCTGCTTTTCTATCTATTGCTCTTGCCCTCTGGTCCCCGGATCCATGAATGGGTAACTCTCCACTGGATTCTCCACACCTAGACACCTTCCATAATTTGTCCCTCTTCCTCACCATCCGTCAGTCCCCATTCAACCAGTTGCCAATACTATCAGCTTCCCTTCCCAAATATTTCTCAAAGCCATACAGTTCTAAGGACATTAGGAACTCATTAATCCCCATTGCTTCTCCAATTAGTCCCCCAAGGCCACCAACTATTCTGCCCACCTCCAGGAGAGGCGAGCTCCCTACCCCCCCTTAATCCATTCTTACTGCAGAGTGATGTTTCTAAAACATCTACTGGGTCATGGCACTCCAGTGGTTTCCCACGAACCCCTAGGATATAATTCGACTTTCCTCACTTGGCCTACGAGGCCCTGCCATCCACTCTGGATTCAATTCTCACCATCCTCCTCACAGTCTTTTATGCTCTAGCCCAGGGGTCCTCAAAGTGTGGTTCCTGGAGCAGTAGCAACAACATTCCATGCAAACTTGTTAGAAAGGCAAATTCTCAAGACCTACCCCAAATCTAACAAATCACAAACTCTGGGGCTAAAGTTTAGCAGTCTGTGTTTTAGCAAGTCTTCCAAGTGACTCTTATCACCTAGTTTGGGAACGCCTGCACTGTCCTTACTGAATGTACTTCATTCCGGTTCTAATTCCGCAGGACTCTGTAGATGCCATGCTGCCTTTCTATGGGCCTCACCAGCCCTTCTGCCTGATGACTTTCTACTTCTCCTGGTCATGCAGTCAATCCCACTCACTGCCATGTATATGGTCCAGTGAACACGAGGCTTAAACCCAAATCTGTCACACACAAATGTCTATTACCACGGAGGCATGAAAATCATCCCAGGATCTGTTGTTCTGGAAACTCAGTGAAGATCCAGCTCTGTCTTCTGTATTTCAACAAGCTGTATTTCAACAAACATGTGACGAAGCCTTATGAAAACAGCATTCAGTACCATCTGAGACAAAGTTTTGAAAGGAGGGATTCAGTTCACTTCAGATCGAAAAGCAGAATCTTCCTTGTCAATAGGGTGGACACAGCACACAATACCATTCTAGAGTCAGTGCTATGGTCTTAACATTTGTGTCTCCCCAAACTTCCTATGCCGAAAGCCTAACCCCAAAGGAGATGGTATTAGGAAGTGGGGCCTTTGAGAGGTGATTAGGTTATCCGAGTGCAGCCCTCATGAATGGACCTAGTGCCCTATAGAAGAGGCCCCACAGAACTCCCTTGCCCCCTCCACCATGTTAGGACACAGCAAAAAGACCACAGCCTGGGAAGTGGGTTCTTACCTGACAGGGAATCTGCCAGCAACTTGATCTTGGACTTCCCAGGCTCCAGAACTCTGAGAAATAAATGTCTGTTGTTTATAAGCCACTTAGCTCACGCTTTTTTTGTTATAGCTACCCGAATGGACTAAGACAGCCAAAAACCCACTCCACTGGTGTGAGAATCCTTGTTCTCATTCTTACTCTACACTGAGCAGGAGCTGCTTATACAATATGTCTTGCCAACTGGCTTCTCCATGAATAATTATCTCTAATATCTCAATCTAATGAGTGAACTCTCCAGGTGCAGATTTAAATGGTGACACTTGATACAGTGGTCTCCAAAGTTGGGAATCTTTTAACGCTACTAACAGGGCTAGGGATTTGAATTACTGATTATTGTTTTCAAATGACAACTAATCACCTCTAAGGTTTAAATTATGTACACACATGCACACACATGCGTGCGCACACACACACACACACACACACCCCTACCTCCGCCTAAAGTGAAGAACTTTAAACCAGATTATAGATGACACAGCACCTGCAATAAATTGCCCAAGAATCTGCCTCTTCCCTTTTCCCTGTCTTCATGCTATGCTGGGAGGCAGCGAACACACTGATAAGGAACATGTACTTTAGAGTCACTTGACCTGAGTCCAAATGGAGTCCCTGACACTTCTTAGTTATGTAAGCAAGTTATTACTCAACCTCTCTAGGCTTCACTTTCCTTATTTGTAAAGTGAGGATGGTAAGACGGAATATGAGAAAACATGCAAAAATGCCTAGCACATAGGACAATTATTACTATTTCATCGTGTACCCTGTGTCTTTCTACATTCCCAATTTTTCTTTCTGCCAAGTCCACATTTTGCACCCATCCATCTAATCAATTTTATAGAGCATCTATTAAGTACACAGTTCTGTGCCTGGCATGGAAGACTCCATGATCAATGGGATGGGGGTCTGAGCCCACGTTCTCACATGGAGGTTCAGATTTAATTGATGGTCAGTGCTTATTGACTCCTCACAATATACCAAAGTGTAGCGTTGAGCACTTTGCACTCATGACATTTGATTTTAAGCCACCTATGAGGCAGATATTCTTTTACCGAAGAGGAATCTGAAGCATAAACAAGTTAGTCGGGCACCTAAGGCTAGCTGGATCCAAACCCAGGCAGCTTGAGCCCCAAGCCCTGCGTGCATGCCTGTACCACACCTATGGACCCTTCGGCTTTGGGAACATTCCTTTCTTCATCTCCCTCCTCCAGAAGCCTTATGAAAACAGCATTCAGTTCTTCCTCTGCTTGAACTCTTAAAATCAGTCATCTTAAAAATAATTATCAATACAACTCTAGATGTTACAGTCCTCCTTTTTTTTTTAAGATTATTTATTTATTTAGTTAGTTAGTTAGTTATTTGACAGAGAGAGACACAGGGAGAGAGGGAACACAAGCAGGGGGAGCGGGAGAGGGAGAAGCAGGCTTCCCACAGAGCAGGGAGCCCGATGTGGGCTCTGTTCCAGGACGCTGGGATCATGACCTGAGCCGAAGGCAGACGCTTAACGACTGAGCCCCCCAGGCGCCCCTACAGTCCTCCTTCAGTACAGATTTCCTTCTTGCCCAGCCTTCACAGAAGCAGCACAGTGAAGGGCACAGGGCTCTGGAGCCGACTGCCTGACCTGCCACTCACCAGCTGTGTGACCTAGGGCAAGTGACACAGCCACTCTGTGCCTCAGTTCTTCTCACCTATAATACTGGTATACTGTTAAGTGCCTCAGAGGTGGTCCTGAGAATTAAAAGAGTTAACATAGGCAAACTACTAAGCACAATGCAAGGCACATGGTAGGTGCTGTGTAAGTGGTAGGCATTGTTGTTCATGCCACAATTATGTATTCATACTGTAATTATGTGCCCCATAAGTCAGGGACCAGTTTTTCTTGTCTTAATATCTTCAGGTCTGGTAAATCCTGTTCTTTCAACGGTATTTACTCAGTTGAACTCAAAAGAACCATTATTTCTTTCTCTTGGAAGATGCTATGTTGCTGGGTCCTAACTCCTAAAGTCTTCCCCAGCTCCAGCCAGCCCTTTTCCCTCCAACCTAATCTTCACTATGAGAGGGGAAAATTCATTCTTTGCGTGGCAGGAACTGAAGACCCAGAAGAAAGAAGAATCAAGGAGTCTTTTGAAAGGCTAACTTCCCTAAGAAACTATCTTTCCCTTCCCTCCACTTCGCTCATCTTCTTGTTACCTAGCTACTTCTTTTCCTTCATTTCTTCTGATGTTCCCACGGACGTTTTCAAATCCACCCAGTCAACAAACGGAACTGGGCACCCACCATATTCAGCATTCTGAGACAGGGCAGAAGGGCCAGGAAGTAAGGCCCTGCGCCCCAAATCTTGGAGGAGAGCGAGTTAAAGCTCTCTGCTGCGTTTATCTTCCAGTATCGCTCCGCCCAGTGTCTCGGGATCAAAGCTCCGTCTCATCTTTCGTCTTGCCTTCCAGAAAGGCGACGTTTCGGCTCTGAACTCAGCTACCCGCGGTCCCCTGACCCTTCGGTTTCCCCTTCTGTTCACTGGAGGAGCTGAGGTAAAATTTCGCAGCTTTTAGCAGCAAACTTCTCTCGTCCCACCGACGGAAGGGTGTGTTCTTGCCAAAGCTGCCGTACCCCGGGCTCTCTCTCCGTACGCGGAGCCTTGAACAGAAGGAGTCCCGCGAGTCCAGGGTTCCTTGGACCCGGTGCGTGGAAATGGCCTTGAGCCCAGGGCGGCCGGGCGGGGCGGGCGACCTGGACCTGCACGTCAGCTCCCGGGCAGCTCCCCTTCCCCCCCGGGGGCGGGCGGGGCGGGCGGGGCGGGCGGGGCGGGCGGGGCGGGCGGGGCGGGGAGCCTGCCCGCCACGCCCCCGGGAGTTCTAGGCGCCGCTTCGTCGCCACAGGGCACCCGGGCACCGGAGACCATGGGGAAGCTGATGGTTCTGAGCCTGCTTGGGGCCGGCCTGGCCCTCATCGGGGAGAGGTTAGGGGCACTTAGGTGAGTTGGCATCTTGATGGGGCGGCCTTGGTTCTTTCTCTCCTCTTCCAAGTTTCAGTGGCTGCCCCGTGCCACCTTCCTAGCAGGTAGGGAAGAGCATTTTTAGAATCTCACTCCTCAGTTCCACCCGGCAAGCTATCCCTTGAGAAGCACTGATGTGGAAAAGTGAGCTGTTTGCCTTTCCTAAGGTGGTAGAGCAGAAATGCCCCCCATTTATTTTCTGAAAGTCGTGCCCGCACCCCACCTCCTTTTCCACGTTGCCCTCCGCATTTTGCTCCGGAAAAAAAAAAAAAAATGAACTCCGTTGGAAGCGCTGGACCTGGAGGAGACCAGGCCACCAGCTGGATGTTTACAGCCCACTCAGACATTGCCCAAGGCCAGTGCAACATTGATGAGTACTGGGGTACAGAGCTCGTCCTAGATTAAAAGAGCTAGCCAGACAGCAGGGAAATGAGCTGAAACTTGCAGGTGGTGACCACCGGCGTTTTCCAAGTATTAGGACCTTGTGAAGTGGCAGATCTAGCGTTGATAGGCAGAAATATCTCACGAGAAGTCAATATACTGGGCTAGAAAGAAACATTAGGTATGATATGCATTTCCGAGTGGATCTAAAGCTTCTGCTTGCCCTCACTTGTCTTTAAGTTGCTTTTGTTTATTTCTCCAAGCAGAAGCTGATCTCAGAAGTTCACATTAGAATCTATTGGGAAGCCTGATGCCTTTTGTGAACACTTTCTAGTTCAGCTTGACAATGTTTATTGTTACATTTGTTCCCAGCGCACCCAAGTGAGAGAATCATAAAAAGTCATAATTGCAAGGTAGATCCAAGGTGTATTTTTACAAAAGTGACAGTAAGATAAGTCAAGTGTAGACTCTTCCTGCATACAATCTAATAAAAATTTAAAATTATCCCTGGTATTTAGAAGAATGGTTCACTGTGGAAGCAGGAACACTATATTGAAAAATAATTTGGCCAGTTGTTTATATTGTGGTCAGTTTGATGACTTTTATACACTTTGCCAAATAAGTTAGCATAAATTTTTTTTAAATAATGAAATTAAAGCAAAAGCTACAGGGTTTAGCTATTAGGAGACAGTTGAATTTGGAGAAAGCATTTTGGTGGGGGGTCAAAAGACAAGACTATAGGGGGCCAAGGGGAGCCAAAGTGCAGATATATAATAGATAATACTTTAGCAAATTACATAATACTACTCTGTACATTTCAAGTAATAATACTGTTCAGTTACTTATTCTATGGTATCATTTATCAGGCAGCAACGTGCTGTCCATGTATAATGGCATTTTAGGCTTTCAACAATAATTGGGTGAGATGAGCTGATATAGGTGCATGACGTACATAATGTCCACATTATGTAAATAAGTATAAAGAAAAGGAGGTACCTACTTACTTGTTATATCATCCGTAAATGATGAGAGACAAAGTTAATGAACAAGAGGGTGATTCAAGACAATGTCTAGACATTGATTTTGGGTGTTGTGCATCGTCCTCCAGTGTTCTTTTCTTCTACAGACAAAGAGCTAATGCATCTCGGGAAGTGGAGCCAGTAGAACCCCGGTACTGCCACCTCATTGAGGGACTTGGTATGTCTGTGACAGTGCAATTTCTTGCTCGTCATCCACCCGACTGAGGCTGCCAACTACGTTAATTCCCTGCTACTCCTTAGAGCCTCTTGCCAGGGGTCTCTGCCCCATTTACTGACGTCACCTCATCCCAGGTCTCCAGGTACCCTCCTGAATGTCAAAATCTGTGGCTTTTCCCCCAATCTTTTTTTCCTTACTGATATCTCTCCATCATCTGAAGGACGTCATGTCCCTTACTGAACGTCCCTCCCATCCATTCTGTGCTATTTCACTCCCCTGTCTGTCTTCTTCCAGTGCCTATCTTCTTTTCTCTCTTCTTCCTTCTCCTTCATGGTGTTCCTGGCTTCAAATATCATTTCCTTCTAAATTTATCTGCAGGTACCAAGAGAAATATGACCTAGCCTTTACCCTGAGGAGCCTCACAGCCTACTCAGATGTCTTAAAATAAAATTACTCAAAACTCCATAGCTGCCTCCCTAACGTCTCAAACTGCAGGCCTTCTTTTCCAGACTGAAACCACTTTCCATTTCTGTCCTTTCCTCCCTCATACCCTCACCCACAACCAGCTCTTCTTCTAGACTTCTCCTATGTATGGTAACCCCATTCTCAAAGGGACTCAGTTCCATATTTAGGAGCCATATGTTTTCCCCTTGTCCCTCATTGTTCTCATGAGACGTGTTGGTATCAACCTCCTCTGTGGTTCCGCACAGGGCTGAGCTCACCCCATTACTGTTACTGCCGTATCTGCTTATCTGGGCTCCAAACCCCCCCATTCTCCCTCATACTGCTACTAGAAAAGCAGTTCCAGGCAGATTCTGTTCACTGTTCATAGAATGTGCTTTTTCACTTTCTCATGGTTGCTCATGAAATCCCCTGCACTGATTCCTTCCTCTTTGTTTCCTGAAATCGGCTGCAAAGTCCTCTCCTGCCTCTGAACTCCCCAGTGCCCTGAAACTCTGATTCACTTAGGACATCTACCACACACTTTATGGCTAGCAGTGTTCTCTCTCTCTCTCTCTCACTAGCAGATAGGAAACTCCCTAGGGTCAAGGACTGTGACTTATTTATCAGTATGTGTCGGGATGACAGCATAGTTTATTGTGATATGAGTTTGTATTTTCTTTTTCTTGGTACATATATTTCTTTATATATGATGTATTTCGACTATATATACATATATATAGAGAGAGAGAGAGGGACAGAATAAGTCTTTTTGATTTTGGTTTTCTTTCTTTGTTTTTCTCTCTTGATTTCGAAAGAAAAAGAAAGAAAGAAAGAGAAAGAAAGAAAGAAAGAAAGAAAGAAAGAAAGAAAGAAAGAAAGAAGAAAGAAGAAAGAAAGAAAGAGAAGAAAGAAAGAAAGAAAGAAAGAAAGAAAGAAAGAAAGAAAGAAAGAAAGAAAGAAAGAAAAGAAAAAGTAGCCTTGGCCAATATGCTTCCTAGCACATGGAGGAGGTATGTGCTGCTGGCTAGAAACAGAAGGAACTGGGGACAAGCTGCTTCCTGACTTTTGTTCTCAAAAACCCGAGCTCCTTCAGAAGGTTCTGATGGACAAAGGATAAGAATATGTGGATTTTTTTAATAACAGGGATCCTTTCCCCGCTGCCTGATGGCATTCTGGGGATGGAGCAGGACCCCTGAAAGAATGGCTGCAAGGTGTCTTCAGGGAGGCTGGATCCTTTGCACTGTGTGTCGCAGCCCAAGCACAGATCATGTGCCCATCCAGGACCTGGAAGTGGCAGAGCTTCGTAAATTAAAAGGAACACATGGGCTTGGCAGTGAGTAATTTGGTGGTGACTAGAATAGAATAAAGGCCAGATGGACTTCCCCAAATATTCTGCTTTTTAAAAACTTGCCACCTACGATATTTGCACAACCCTGGCAGAAGACCCAGTAATGACTGAGATTGAATTTCCCTTCGGTTTAGTGGAATGTGGGTGCAGGGCAGATTTAATTTGATTTAAAAAAAAAAAAGGGAAATGTAACATTTGCTCATTTGTTTACTGTTTTGTGGAGTAATATTCATACTTATACACATCTCTCTCTCAAAAGATAGGAGCTTGCCAAATAATGTAGTGGGGTAATTAGATTATTGCTAACGCCTAGTCTGACTCAAGCAGATAGTAGAATTCAAATAGAGTTGAGAAGCTGAAACTAGGGCTAATGTTGTAAGACAGATCAACGTTCTGATTATCTAAATATTTTGAAAAGAATGGCTGAAATGGTTGGAAACTGGCTGAGAGCAAAAGAAAAAGCATTACCTCTTGTGTCTATTGGCGTATCTCCATCTTATATTTGGAGAACTAAACAAGTTTGTCAATAGGGTGATATTGATATATCTCTAAAAATAATGCCACTGCCTTCATCTATAAACCTTCTGCTGAGTTCTTTACAAACATTGACATCACCCACACAACCGACCTGTAAGGTGGGTGCTGCTTGCTATCTGTCCTTGCCGATTAGGAAACCGAGACACAGCAGAATGACTTGACTTGTCTAGTGGCCCAGAACCAGAGGGTGATGGGCCCAGATTATGAGCCAGGGTGGTTTTATTCTATGTCTTGTACTCTTTGTCATGTGACCCTGCCTCTCTTATCTACTGACAACACATTTTATTATGGAAGTGTCGGGAAACTATGATGGCAGCAGAAAACCGAAAATCTGAGAGGCAAAATGGTGAAATATTAATAAATGGAGCTGACCAAGACAAGGCAGGCTGGATAAATCACTAAGTAAAAATCACTAGTGAGACCATCCTCACGAGACCCAACTATTTGATGAGTGAAAAGCTTTATGAAGCAGTGGAAAACCAATAACGATTTTAGGCAGGGCTTGGTAGGCAGTTAACAGAGCTGGAGAAGAATTCTCATTTGTGTTTTCTTCAAGATCCAGGCTTTTGTGGTTAATTTTATTGATGGAAGAAACTTTCCTCTTTTTGTTTTCCTTCCCAGTATTCTTTCTGGGAAGCAAAGTTGAAAAGCGAAGTAATTCTAAGCTTCAGAAATGGTATCTCAAAGATCTTTTTGTATTGAGTTTATCTTTTTCCAAGGCTTTGAGAGTCAAGGATTGTTTTAACCAGGAAGTTAGTTGACTGCCCTTGGCATCTAATCAAAGCTGCACATGAAATTCGAATAGCTTTACTGGGGTTCCACCCTTGGCAGGATTATCAAGTAAACAGCCATTGTCTTTGGTGTCTTCCTATCTTCCACTCCATCCCTTTTCCCTTTCAGCAGCTTCCCCTATCTCCAAGATCTGTTTCTACTCCATTGTAGGTCCCATTTATTTTCTTAGTTGGCTATCAGAATCTTCTTTCCAAGATGTGAAATCGTGATAATATTAATTGATCGTAATGTGTGACACTTTCTCAGGGTGCCTATAGAAAATGATTAACAGCCAAGGAGACAAAGTTATGCTGGGTAGAGGGCTGACAGGTTAAAAAGCAGTAGATACCTATTCATGAGACTGATTTTAGACTTACCGGCGGGGTTTTAATGATAGTTGTGCACAGGCTAACAAGTATTTGGGGAGCACTCAGGGGAGGGTGTCCTGGGAGCTCTTACTCCCACAGGTGCCACCGTTGCCAAGATGCACTGGGTTGTCACGCGGGTGCAGTGTAGGTGGGGGACGTGGGGAAAGAGGGGCGGGAATACTGTGCAATCAGCTGGTGACTCATTTTCACATCTGAATGGAAAGTACCGGCATCCTTGTGCTCTGGATTAAGTCAGTAAATAAAGACAAATACAGCACCGCCAGAACACACCCACTCCTGTTTTAGCTGAACTAGTGAGGTAGGTTAATGCTGTCGGAGGGTGTGTGAAATGGTATTTGGAAGATAAAAGGTCCAAACTAAAGAGCACACAACTCAGGACATCTTATGCTCAGAAATTAACACTCAAAGACAAGACAGTTCAACATGGTTTATCTTATTTAGTCAGTCAACCAGCTTTATTGACAGCTCTTATAGTGAAAAGGCAGGGATTACATTGGGTGCAAAGCTGGTGTACTGGGGGCGCCTGGGTGGCTCAGATGGTTAAGCGTCTGCCTTCGGCTTAGGTCATGATCCCGGGGTCCTGGGATCGAGTCCCGCATCGGGCTCCCTGCTCAGTGCAGAGCCTGCTTCTCCTCTTCCCTCTGCCATTCCCTCTGCTTGTGCTCTTCTATCTCTCTGTCAAATAAATAAATAAAATCTAAAAAAAAAAAAAAAAAAAGCTGGTGTACTGAATGAAAACTGGTCCCTGTTCCCAGGAGGCTTACCGTCTGGCAGGAAATCAACAAGTCAACAGAAGGTTGCAGCCCAGGTATGAAGGAAATATCATGGCGGCGGTAGTCACAGGTGACCATATTAGTACATAAAATGGGTGCTAGAACTAAGGGGAACTGGGAGAGGTTGCAAAGGCTGAGGAGGTGGCCCCCAAGCTCTTCTCTAGAGCCCATGATACTCAAGCAAGGGGAGGTGAAGGTGGTGTGGGAGAGATGCGGGTTGCTAAGAAGAGGGAGCCCCATGTGCTCAGGCAGGCAGGTGAATGAGGCTGACACATTTCAGCAACTACCAAGGGAGGAACTGCAGCAGAGCTGGCCTAGAGAGTGGAGAGTGGGGGCCAACAAACCGAGACTGGAGCCAACATGTGGAGAATTTGGAATCCAGACCAAGAAGCTTAAGATTTCTATTGCCAACTCTGGGTTTTAAGCAGGGGAGTGACAGGATCGACTCTGCAGTTTACAATGATGACTGTCAGCAGGTGCAGACAGCGGGAGCAGGAGAGCAGAAGTGACCTGTTAGAAAGCTCCTGTGCAAATCCAGAGGGGGAAGTTTTAGAGCTCCAATTAGAGTGATCCGTTGGATTCGGGGAGTAAGGAAAAAGAAAGCATCAAAGGTCACTCCAGGTGCTTCAGGGGATGGGTCCTTGGGGGATGGTAGTGCCATTGACTGAAATCAAAATATAAGAAATGGAGCAGATTCACAGGGGAAATGTCCAGATCAGTTTGGGACGTGTTAAATATGAAAAATGAAACGGCCAGGTAGGAATGCCCAATGTACAGGTGAATACAAAGGCCTGGAAACTGCCAGAACGATTCGGGCTTGATTTAGAGATTGGAGAGTCAACGGCACATGGGTGGAACCTGAAGCCAGGGGACTAGAGTAGATTGCACAGGTAGAAGGGATGCTTGCCATGAGAAACAGCCAAAGGCAGTTAGGGCCTGGAGCATATCCATGTCCAGAACAGAATTGGGCAGGAAAATAGGGCAAAAGGAAACCAAAAAGTGGTGTTCAAGAGAGAAAAAGTAAGAGAAAAATAAAAAGTTGGTTCAAAAATTAACCAACCTTATTCAAAGTGATTTTTTTAATTGCTTTATTCAATTTGCTGGGTTCTCCCCATGTCTGTTTTACTCTAGGTGGAAATAGCACTAAGTCTTTATTTATTTGAGAGAGAGAGAGAGCACATGAGAGGGGGGAGGGTCAGAAGGAGAAGCAGACTCCCCGCTGAGCAGGGACCGCGATGCGGGACTCGATCCCGGGACTCCAGGATCATGACCTGAGCCGAAGGCAGTCGCTTAACCAACTGAGCCACCCAGGCGCTCAGCACTAAGTCTTTCAAGCCATTAAGATACCATAGATACAAAATCTTGATTCACTGGAATGTTTAGAAAATGGAACGCTCTGATTAATTTAATTTTCAGGTACTAGTTGGGGATTAGTTTCAGTAAGTGAATATTTAATTAAATCTTCCTCTGTTCTCTAATTTTCAGTGCCCATTGCTCATTATTCTGTTGATTCAAATTTGCATTTTATTTGGCTTTGTCCCACTTTTCTTTCCCCCTCCCCCTCTTTGCTCAGTTGCCTTTTGACCCACTAGCCACACATTACCCCACGCCACCTTCTCCCCACATGTGCCAGTCACCATAGCTGTGTCACAAACCACCTTAAAACCGAGTGACTGACTTAAATGACAATTACCTTGCTCATGAATTTGCAATTTTAACAGGGCTCAGTGGACACAGCTCATCGCCGTTCCATTTGCATCAGCTAGGGTGACTCAAAGGTTGAGAAGTGAAGTGGCCTGTGACTCCTCCAGTGTCTTCTCTACTTTCTGTAGTCTCTGTATAGTCTCTCCTCTGTAGCTTCAAAGTACCCAGACTTCCTACATTTAAGTTTAGAGTTCCCAAGGCCCATGCAGACAGAGAGAGACAGAGACAGAGAGAAAAGGGAAGGGAAGGGAGAAGAGAGGAGAGAGAGTGACAGTGAGAGAGAGAGAGAGAAAGAGATTGAGAGCGAACCAGCAGCAGCTATGGTTATGACTTTACCTTGTATGCCATGTGGCATCGTTCCTACCTCATTTTATCTGTCAAAGCAGTTACCAAATCCACCCAGATTCAGCGGGAGACACCTTACCTCCTGATGCAAGGATATGAACATCACATTTTAAGAAGGGCATGTGGCTCTGATCCATGTTGGTTCTACCATATTTGTAAAATACGGTCCGCCACCCTAGATAGCCACCGCCTTTACCCTCAGTCCTGCCTGCTTGGGACCACGTCCTCTGTGGGTCTGTCTCTCTATTAGGAGCCATGTGAGCCCCCTATTCATCCTGCTCGTGGTCATAACTCACTTCTCATATGCCTCTTTTCATAGCAAACTGCTCAGGACCAGCTCTTAATGAGAAAGAGAGCTGACTAAATTCAAATTTGTCTATATTTGGTAGTCTTTCCCAAGACATATTGCTTTTATAATGGATAACAATTACCCACTAATTTCCCAATATGATCGGATAATGATACATTTTTAGGCCTCAACAAGTTAGAAGAGAGAAATGTTTGGCTGAGAGGCCTTTAAGACAGCCTCACAATGAAGACTTCCCAAATGTCATCAGTCCATCTGCACATCAGTCTTCTATGGGGAATAAAGCTGAATCTCTCAGAGCATACCCTACAAGTTGTTATTTAAAGAATAAATCTAGGCTATGATTTATTTTATAGTTATTTGCTTTTTTCTCCTGAAAATTGAGTTCTAAAGAAAGACTATAGTATTTAGGGAAACGGACCCTGGTTTTACTGGAGAGTGGAATGCCTATGGGATCCCTGGAAGTTAATGTAGTTTCCCAAGTAACTAGTTGAAAAAGTTAATGTAGTTTCCAAAAGAAGTCTAAGGTTTTGTCTGTGAGATTTACTTTTTAAGCCTTCGTTCATGCATCTTCCTGATCCTTCACTTCTTTTGCAGAAAATGGCTCTGAAGATATTGATATACTTCCTAGTGGGCTGGCTTTTATCTCCAGCGTGAGTATTTTCCACGCCCCTCAGACGCTCATGTCAATAGCCGAATAGATAGTACATTAATGTTGCCGACTAGAGCTGCCAGATGGACCCCTACACACTTATCCCAACTGTGGTTAAAGCAGTCAACTAAAAAAGCCAAAAGGGGAATTCCAGAGGGCTAATTGGGTTGCCACAGGAATGCCGGGTTTGCTTGGCCCCATGTGGGCAACTCCCCGTGGGCAGTTACAAATTCAGTCGGGTCTCAATAACTGTCCATTGATTTCCATTGGATTCCTAGACGAGTCTCCAGGTTTGTCCTGCTAGTGTCCATCCCCATCATTGCCCTAGTTTGCTGGACCTCAGTTTCTGGTTGTCATGTTCTCACTAACTGGTATTCTTCTCTCTATGCCTGCCTGTGTTTGAGGCTCAGGAAATGTTTGTGAATCATATGTTGACCATGTTAGGCGATTCAAAAGCCTGAGCACTTTCCAACTTGGGTTCCCTGCCATTCCTTCCAACTCTTTCAAAGACAAGTAGAGAAGGGCCTGCATTTTATTTCTAATACCACCTTCACAGGTTTGGGATGATCATGAAGCTATGTGAAGGACTGACAAATAAATATAAATAAATTAAATACAATAAATTGAAATATATGTGGTGTAAAGATATTGAAAATTGCCATGTATTTATTGAACAGTTGCAATTTGGAATGCGACCTAAGATTCTGAACAAGCAAATTGACTCCATTTTCAATGTGAATTCTGATTGCTGGGACTGCATGTCCTAAATATTCTATTTTGGCCAATAGAATGCTACCCAATAACATGAATTTTAAAATCTATATCTTTTTGGCTAAAAGGGGACACATATAATAACACTTAATGGACTGAATTTCTAAATTCTTAAGTATGCACAGTATAGTAGGGTTTTGTTTGGATTTAAGTTGCTGTTGGTGGTGATATGTGTTGGGGTGGGCGGGTGGGAGGGATTGTATTTCCTTAGTTTTCCTCCAAAACCAAAACTAAAACAAAACTGTCTAGAAAAGCTTTTCCTCTGTTGTCTTAAATTTTCTATTGTCAATTTAGATGTTCAATGTTATGCCAAATAGACTTTTAAAAATGATTATTCTGTAACTGGGAGATTTCTCTGCTTTTAGGAGATAATATCTGTAGTTCCAGCTGTATGCTTCTTTTCTATTTTCACCGGAACTAAAAGTACTGAACTATTGCTGTATAGAAACTAGAGGTTTTCAGCGGAGAAATGTTAACAAGGGGGCTTTAAGTAATAGAGTTCTTCTTTGTAAACTAACAACTCCTAGGCTAAGGATGATTTTTTTTTTTTTTTGCTTATTTTCAATCTCTTTGCACTGCAGTAAATTCAAGTCCTTGTTCTTGGTTTTTCCTATCTCCCTTTCTTGCCGTCACAGAGCATGTCTGGAAGCTGCTGACGTAGAGAGAAATTCTGCGCGATATTTGTAGTCAGTCTACAGACAGGTGCCAAGCAGGTTATTTGCTTCCTTACCTTGGGACTTGGCATGCTTCTCCTTGCCTGCCTTCTTCACACATTATGGAGCCAGCTCCTCATTCTCTGTCAGCCTTTCTGTGGACACACTTCAATTCCACAGGAAAGTCTTCCCCAGTGCTCTTTCTGGGCGATGTGCCTCTTCTATGGCCCCTCACATTCTCTGTGCCTAGGCTCTTCCCTACCACATCATAACAGACATGCTTGCTTGGTGCTGCCTCCCCAGATTTCAAGCTCCTTGCAGCCAGAGCTTTGTGGAGCGCCCGTTGCCATGCTGAGCACCTAACGCACTACCTGACAAGTACAAGGTGCTTGAATATTTACTGAATGCGTGTGCTGGTCAATGAGGGCAGTAGAGAAGTTCAATGCCTACTCACACTCACAGGTAGCCTATTGGGGAAAATAAAATGCTGCCCCTCCAGGGGATTTTCACCATTTTCAGTGACGAATGATATCCAAAGAATTGCTTGCACTGACTTGCTACAAATTCCTACCCAACTGCCTTCAACAGAAAACCGGGTGCATATGAAGCCGCTTATTGGAAGTGTTTCATTCATCACGACACTTAATGTAGGTCAACTTTGTTTGCAATGTCCTACCCTTATTTACCTATTAAATCATTTCAATTTCGAGAACATCCAGTCTTTGAACTAGGTGGCAGCGCCTTTGTGTGTGCCCAGGCTACCAAGATACTTGCTAAGGTGGTCTTCCTTGAGCTGTCTTCCTGAGTAGCATTCTCCATTGTCAAACCTTTCTTTATGGTGTGGCAGGAAGAGTGTACAATTAAAGATGTGACTGACTTAGGCAATTCACTTCTCTGGGCTTCATTTTCCTCAGGTGAAAGGGAAGAATTAGATGTCTCTGACATTTTTTGTCCATTATTACCATGACCTAAGCTGCTGGGCTTGGTGACAGCCTGACTCTGAGGAAAGGGTAGACTCGAAGACTGAATTTCATGGCCTGATATTGAGGAGAACATTGATGCCCTTAACTGTGAATAATAGATACAAATGAGAGCAAGGATTCGGGGAGAGAATGTTGATTTTGGTTCGGACAATTTGATTTTGAACTGCTGTTAGGAAGAAGTTGGGAATGCTTGCAAGCTAGAGCTCCACAGAGAGGTTCCAGGTAAATGGGCAGACCTGAAAATAATTGGTATAGAGAAATATCTGAAACCTTATGAATAAGGTCTGCAAGGAAAGAGTATAGAGCAAGAAGAAAAGAGGGATGGATGAGGATAGAAGGAGGAAGGGGCAGAAAGAGGAGCAGGACTTCCATCTGGAAAGTCTACTTTTGACTTTTTTTTTTTTTTGACAAGGAATAAAGGGGTACAGAGTGTCAGATGCCATAGAGATACAGATAAGGAAAGGGGGAGGGATTATCAAATGAGATATTTTGGAGAGCACTGATATGACCTCGATAGAGGCGCTTCTACAAATCGGTGAGAGTTGGAGCCGTTCAAGGCAGGTGACAAGACCAAGTGATGTTTCTAAGAGAGCTGACAGTGAGGGGAAGGCAAGATAAACGTGTGTTTGAAGGAGTAGTTAAATTAGGAGATTTGTCTCAAGGAAGGAGAAATGAGCAATTTTTCAGGCAAACGAAGGGGGCACTGGTGAGAAATGAGGGGTAAAGCAAGAGAGAGACTGTAAGTTCTAAAGACAGGTCCCCGAGAATAGGCAACCAAATAAACAGGTGGGGGAAGTAATTAACTTAAGAACAGAAGAGCAAAACTCTTTCCTTAAGAAAAGAGGGAGAAAGGAAGAAAATTGATAAAATTGAAGAATTACCAAGACAGAAAGGAGGGAATCAGAGGAAATTCATGTTGAGTGCCATGGGTTTTTTTGTTTATTTGTTTGTTTCAGAGAAGTAGGAGGTAAAGTCATCCATTGAGAATAAAGAGGAAGAAGGTATGTGCTCTGGAAGATAATAAAATAAATTGAGAATGGATACTTGGGAAAATGCAATAGATTACCTATTAGAATGAACAAAGAGATTGATAAACAGTGTTGAAGGTCTGATTGAAGTTGCGATGATAACTTTGCTGTAGAAGTTTTCAGGCAGATTTCAGACTGGCCCTATATAAAAGCTAGACCAGGGCAAAGGGAGTTGGCAGGAATTTGATAAGGAAGCAGGAAGCAAAGTGTGTGACTTCCTTAGAAGACTGACTATTGATTGATGATGACAGGTTCAAGGCCTGGAAGGAGAAGTTTGTGGCCAGGGGCGTGGGGATCTCTCCTCCAGGTGAGGTGACCTAAGAAAAATGAAGCCGGAATTATACCTCCTCGGATGGGCTTCTGCAATGTCATTGTCAATGTCTGGGGAAAAGCCAGGTTTCTGGTAAGATTTAGGCATAGAAGAACTGTTCTTTAAAAAGCTCGAAGACGTATATGGGGTTGTTTGCAACTAAAGATTGATTCCCCCAGGGGTGGGGTGAAGGACAGTGGAAGGGCCGAGAATAGTATTATTGTAAGTAAGTGTGTGGAGGTGTGTATGCGTGATTATAAGAAAAGGAGGGGACAGGAAGACAGAAGATCGAGTAAGAATGAGATCATTTAAATTGACCATAAATGGAAATGAGGGTACAAGAAACGATATAAAATTGTTGATGTTAATATATATCAGAGTGATGGGGGAGGGTGCCAGGGAGGAAGTGGGCTGAGTTTTGTCATTGGTGTATCACAAACCAACTCCAAGTTTGACACAATGACCTGGGATGCAGCAAAGGCCCATTGCCTATTATTGGTTGATAGACATGCGTTATTGGTCCTTCCAGGAGAAAGAGCCACTGTCCAGGTTACTGACATAAACTTTTTGCAGTATTTGAAGAAAAGGATTCATGTCCAAATTTTGAGACCTAACTATAGGGACAACATAGGTCAGAAATAGTCAACTTTACGTGACTGGTTCCCCTATGTGAATTCTTGGCTGCTTCTAATATTTGTCACTACGTAATATAATGGATGTAGGGAGGGGAGCAATGTAAGGAAAGCATATACCCCTTGTCTCTGCTTTAAGGAAGGTTAGTTGATGACTATCAGGACTGGAAAGGACAGACTCTCAGGACTTAGCAATCCTACCCTTTAACTTTCTCTTTTTATAAAAGAGGAACTAGAGGCATGGCAGGCCAAGGGACTCACACAAAGGAACCCAGCCTAGTGTCTTGCATTACACTTTTTGGCTTCACCCTTTCTCTCTATATTAGTAATTGAATATGGGTTCTTCCCACATTCCCATTCCCATTCCCAGTGACCCAGGTGTCATTGGTAATCCCTCAGATCAGATAATGGCACCAGCTGACAGAGCGAAAAATCCCAGAAATCTAAAAGAAATGCACGTCTTTGAATATTTTTGTTAGACTTTGAGATTTTAGCTTCCATATGAAAATATTGTGAAGCATATATATGCATTTACTTATTTTATATTTTTTACAGGGATTAAAATATCCAGGCATGCCAAACTTTGCACCAGATGAGCCAGGACAGATTTTCTTGATAGATCTGAATGAGCCAAACCCAAGGATCCAGGCACTAAACATCAGTGATGGTTTCGACAAAGCATCATTTAATCCACACGGAATCAGTACTTTCATTGATGAAGGTAAAGCCCGAATGCTTAAAAATAAGGGGTAAACAAGGGAAATACAAGCCACTCAACCTCCACAACTCAATGTGTATGTGAAAGGAGGGAAAATTTTATTTTACCGGAAAGATGTATATTTGTAAGATAATAAATGTGTACCAAACATTTGTAAACACCACATTAAAGAAGGGAGACTACAAGGTGGTCATTCCTTCTTCCTCTTACCTCCTTCTCTTTCCATTTGACCTTCAAAACCAGTTTGGAGACTGTTCTCAGAAATCTAACATATAAACTCAAAGGCCTTTGAAAATAATTGTGTGTGACATTAGAAAACATAACATGAAAGAAAACAAGATAAACTAGACTTCATCAAAATTAAAAACTTTCCGGTTCAAAAGACACCGTGAAGAAAGTGAAGAAATAGCCCAAAGAATGAAAGAAAATATTTGCAAATCATATATCTGATAAGAGGCTTGTATCAAGAATATATAAATCATTCTTACAACTCAACAACAAAAAGACAACCCAATTAAAAAATGGACAAAGGATCTTAGTAGACATCTCCAAACAGATATGCAAATGGCCAATAAACACAGAAAAGATATTTAATATCCTTAGTCATTAGGGAAATGCAAATCAAAACCATAATGAGATAGCACTCCATTCCCACTGGGATGGTTATAATAATAATAATAATAAAGCAGACAATGACAAATGTTGGCAAGGATGAGGAGAAATTGGAACCCTCACACTTTGTTGGTGCAGCCATTTTTTTTTTAAGATTTTATTTATTTATTTGAGAGAGAGAGACAGAGTAAGCAAGAGAGAGAGCACAAACGGGACAGGGGGCGGCGGTGGAAGGGCAGAAGGAGAAGCAGAGTCCCCGCTGAGCAAGGACCCCGATGTGGGGCTCGATTCCAGGACCCTGGGATCATGACCTGAGCTGAAAGCAGATGCCCAACCTACTGAGCCACCCAGGTGCCTCAGTGTGGCCATTTTTGAAAGCAGTTTAGCAGTTCTTCAAAATGAACACAGAGTTACCATATGATCCCCAAACTCCATCCCTTGGTATGTCCGCAACAGAACTGAAAACATAGGTCCACACAAAAACTTATACACAGATGTTCATGGCAGCATTATTCCTAATACCCAAAAGGTGAAAGTAACCCAAGTTCTCACCAAGTGATGAATGTATATACAATGGGATATTATTTGGCAATAAAAAGGAATAAAGTTCTGACACATGCTACAACATGGATAAATTCTGCAAACATTATCCTAAGTGAAAGAATTCAATCACTAAAGGCCACATAGTGTATGATTGCATTTATATCAACTGTGCAGAATTGGCAAATTCATAGAGACAAGAAGTAGCTTAGTGGTTAGCAGGGGCTGGGAGAAATGAGGAATGACAGCTAATGTGTTTGGGCTCTCTTTTTGGGCTGATAAAAAAGGTCTGGAGCTAGAGAGTGGCTATGGTTGCACAACTCTGTGAATATACTAAACGCCACTAAATTGTACAGTTTAAAATCTTGAGTTTAACGACAATGGATTTTATCGCACAAAAACTGTTGCAGGGTGCCTGGGTGGCTCAGTTGGTTAAGCGACTGCCTTCGGCTCAAGTCATGATCCTGGAGTCCCGGGATCGAGTCCCGCATCGGGCTCCCTGCTCAGTAGGGAGTCTGCTTCTCCCTCTGACCCTCCTCCCTCTCATGCTCTCTGTCTCTCATTCTCTCTCTCTCAAATAAATAAATAAAATCTTTAAAAAAAAAAAACTGTTGCAAAACAATCTAAGTTATTAGTACATTGTATATACTTTAAAACAACAGTTTCTGATGTTACTTGGTACTTGTTCATTGTTCATAATTCCCAACTAATTTAATTTTTAGATATTTGTGGGTCCATAGGGCATGTGGAAAATAAAAACAGTGAGACCTCATTAATAGTAACTATGTGAAGGAAAGGCCAAATGGAAGTGTTGCAATTCGGAATTTTTAAAGAAATTGTGTGTTAATTCTTTCAAATTCATACTGGAGTCCCAATGTATTGTTAAGAATACATTTGTTGGAGTGATTTTATTGAATAAAAAAAGAATGATTAATAATTATTAATTCACTCATCCAACAGATCTTTGTTTAATTCCTTTGGTCTACATGAATAGACTTGTTCATTTTTAAATAAGTGGATTCCTTTTAAAATTTTCATATTTAATTTATTCCTCAAAATAAAACACTGGGCCCAGCCTTGGTATTTCTCCCCTTCCTGCCCCATTCAGTCACCTAGTTCCAATGTTCTGTCCAATTTACCCTTCAAATATCTCTCCAAGCTGTCCACCTCTCCCCATCCTCGATGCCACCGTCCCATCCCAAGCCCCCAACATGTCTTCCCTAGATTCTATAATGGGCCCCCTGACTATACCTTCTCTCTTATACTACCTCCATCCATTTTCATAAGCAAGAGTTATTTTTTATGCAAATCTGATCATGTCCCTTCCTTCTTAAAATTCTCCATATTGTTTCCATTACTCTGGAGAAAAGTCTCAATTCTCCAGAGTGGCCTGGGATCCGAGGCGCCTACCCATGTGTATTCTGGCATGTGGGTGTTTTCTCCAGCCTCACCAGATACCACCTTCCCCTTGACTCCCTGGACCAGCCATACTGGATTTCCTTTAGACCTATAAAATGCTCCATGCCTCAGGGCCTTTGCATTTGCAGTTCCCTCTGAGTGAAATGTCTTTCCACCACTTCTGATTTACTCTTCCTCATCATTCAGGCCTCAGTTTAAATGTCACCTTCTCAGGGAGCCTTTCCACCATCTTGTTTCCGGGTGTGAACCTTATTATATTTCTTTTCAGTATAGTCCTTCTTTTAGCACTCATCAAAATGGTAATTAAAGTTTTTTATTAATGTTAAATGGTACCAACCTTCTCTCCCTCTCCCACTATTGCTCTATAGTGAGCTCCTTCACATCTTTAGATCCAAGCTTGTCACTCTTTAAGTGGGTGCCACTCTATGAAGAAGGCATCTCCCCTCTCCAGTATTCTTGTATTTACTAATTATTTCCTCCCTGTTTTCTTCTCTAGAATACAGTCACCATAAAATCATGTGTGACTTGTTTATTGCTGGATTCCCATAGTCTAGAACAATGTCTGTTGCATAGTAGGTGCTCTATGAACATGTGTTAAATGAAGAAATGAGTGAACCCCATGAGACAGGGCAGATATTAATACTCAGTTTTATAGATGGAGAAATGGAGTTTGAAGAAATGCAGTGACATGTGACTTCACATCTGTCATTAATAAATGGCAGTTCCAGAAGTAGAACCCAGGTGATCTTCTTCCTAATCCTATATCCTTTATTTGGGTGAAATTAGGGCGCCAAGCTCTGATTAAATTATTCGAGTCACCGTTTTCTGGCCTGACCCCTCTCTGGACACCTTCATTGGAGAAAGTGTAATGAGTGACCAGATTAACCTGGAGCTTTTTTATTGCATGGGATAGTGCTAGAGGTGGATTTTTTTTTTTTTTGAGGTATGGGGAGTAGGGGTTCGTTTTTTTATTTTGTTTTTGTTTTTTGAGATGGAACCAGTTTACAGATTAACCCTCAAGCATTTAATCAGACTTTCAGAAGCTGAATATATTATGATTGCAATCTTATTTTACTTATTAGTTACTTCCTTTAGTTATGCATTTAATAAGGGCAAAACATTACACATAAATTGGAATGGAATGAAAAGACAAAAACCAAAAATATTCTTACCGACCATCTCTTATATGGAAGGAGGGGTCCAGTAGAAGCCTAAAGAAGGGGTAAAACCAGGGCAGCACATATAATGTTCATGCTGTGTCTGGCTGAAGGGCCACGTGGGGGCTGAAATCCAACTCAGGCTTTGCTTGCCAAACCTCAGGCCCTGGAACAGAGCTGGGTTGGACTAAAAGAAAGATTCACCTGTGAGGAAGCGCCTTTCCTTAATTAGGGTTAAAGTACCTGTGTGTTGGGCGCCTGGGTGGCTCAGTTGGTTGGGTGACTGTGTTCAGCTCAGGTCATGATCCCGGAGTCCTGGGATCGAGTCCCACATCGGGCTCCCAGCTCAGCAGGGAGCCTGCTTCTCCCTCTAACCCTCTCCCCTCTCATGCTATTTCTCTCTCTCTCTCCCTCTCTCTCAAATAAATAAATAAATAAATAAATAAATAAAATCTTAAAAAAAAAAAAAAGTACCTGGGTGTTTCAGGGGCCCTGAGTATAACCCTTGCATCTCAGGGCTGGCACTTGTTCTATTGCATGATTGGGAACCCATCAAGAAAGGAATAGGGGACATGAATACAGATCAGGTCCTGCAATGGGAGGATGGGGCCAGGCTCTTTCAAACTCCAGAGCTCATCTGACCTAGAGCTTCTGTCAAGTCAGAAAACAGTATTTTGAGAAAACAGATTACTACCTTCCATCCTGTCCCCGGCAGTTCACATTTCAATATGAAAACAGAGAGGTGAATATTCTCGAGGATGGCAGTACCCAGAACTGATTAGTCTTCTTTCTCTTGCATTCATATTTACTTCCATGTCCGTTGGGCTCATTAAATATTGTGGTTGCAACGTTAGGTAGTTGACTTGTGTCAGAACTTTATTCTCTAGTGGGACACGTTCCTTATTTTAAGGTATTTACATAGCCATGACATTTCTTGAGCATGTGTTGCAATGTAAGCATTTCTCACAGAAGGAATTCTCAGCATCCTCTTGCTTGCTTGCAACCACTTCTTTTGTTGAAGGGCCACCTTGGGAAACCACATCCGTCTATGTGCCGTTGTAGTTCTGTATCTTCCTGTTGGAGAGGGTATGTAATGAGGCTCAGGAGACCACTGAGAAACATCTGGGCTTGGCTCTGCCACTTGGCGGTGGTGAAATTGATGATGAGTTATTCACCTTCTGAGCCTCATTTTTTTTTTAGTAAAATGGGGATTCTGGCGTTTAACCTAGGAGGTATGCTGCGGGAATCAAATGCAAGGTATATAAGAAAAGTGCTTGAACATGACCAAGTTGTACACCAAGTCTAGTAATATAATAATAGTTGCAATAGAAGTAAACTTCTTGGAAATTATGCCTTTTTTTCTACCTCAGACCATACTGTGTATCTTTATGTTGTGAATCATCCCCACATGAAGTCCACGGTGGAGAAATTTAAATTTGAGGAAAAACAACGTTCTCTTGTACACCTGAAAACTATAAAACATGAACTTCTCAAAAGGTATGGACTTAAAGTATCCTGTACTATTTATTTTGCACCTCTGCTGTGTGCTTTGTTTTCTTTGGTTCAGCAGGCTTAAACTTTTGTTTTGTAGCATTTTTTTCCTAAAGCTTTCAAGAGGTTCCCATGGTGACACTGCCCAGCACCTCACTAGAAATTGCTGTATTCAGTATTGAATATCTTTATATTCTCCAACTTTCTGAAAGCATTTTAATCCTATAAAGGTACTCAATTAGATTCCCAGCTCTAATTCCATCCTCCATACCACAACAATGCAATACCCACTATTGGGCTCTCTTCAAACACCTACATCTGTTTCTAATTGTCCCAGTAGGTTGTGTTCTGAGAGCCTACTGACTGGGTGTTATAACCAGCCTCCAGATGGGCCATTCCTTTGTTTGATAAAAGCTTTAGAGCAGCATTTGAAAAAAGGCTGTAGGCACATATAAAAATTCACATTTACTAAGCACTATGTGCCAGGCCCTGTGTCAAAATGCTTCATTTAATTCTCCTAACAGCCTTTAGTAATAGGCATGAGTAAACTGGAACCTAAGAAGTTTCGGGTTAACTAACTTGTCCAAATCACATAATTTGTAAGTGGCAGAACCGGGGTGTTAGCCTAGATCAGTTTGAATTCAAAGCTGGACTCTCAGTCACTGTGATGAACATCCTTCTTACTGTGTTGAGAAGAAAAATAGTTTAGTTTTTTAGTGGGTAGTTTGCCTGTTCCAAGGCTGTAACAAACAAAGAAGAATTTGTCTTTTATGAAGTGGACTCAACGCTGAAAGTCAGTAGAGGTTAATCCTTCCTGCAATAGAAGAATAGGAAAAGAAAAGGAAGGAAGGTCACCTTTTCTCCTTTGCTCTCTTTCTCAAAATCATGTATGAATTTCTCCTCATAGAATTTGGGGGTGACAAAAGCAGAGGCAGAAGAAGTGAAGTTGGGGGGTCAATGAACTCTTCCCATGAGGCATTGCACTGGGTTCACAGTCACCGCCACGGGGTGACTGAGAAACTGGACGAATCCCTCAGCCTATGCGTCAGTGTCCTCAGCGAAATGGGGGTTCTCTCACTGGCCTGACTTACCTAACCGGCAAAGGTGACATATGACCTCACTGAACGAGTTCTTTTCCGTGAAAGCACAGCATGAGGGAAAACTCAATAGGCAACTACTTTATTGGAGAGTTACTATCCCAGGACCCAGAAGTGAGGGATCAGCCTGAGGCAGGGCAAGGGGGTATTATGGGTTGAATTGTGTCCTCTCAAAAAGATACGTTGAAATTTTACCCAGCCACCCCCCCTTGCAACAGTTCAGAACATAACCTTATTTAGAAATTGGATTACTGCAGATATACTTAGTTAAGATGAAGTTATATTAAAAGTGGGGGTGGATCCTTAATCCAATATGACTCGTGTCCTAATAAGAAGACAAACAGGGAGAATGCATGTGGGGATGGAGAGTGAGATTGGAGTGAAGCATCCACAAGCCAAGGAATGTCTGGAACGACTAGCAACTAGAAGAGGCAAGGACAGATTCCCCCATAGAACCCTCAGAAGGAGCATGGCTCTGTCAGCACCTTGATTTCAGATGTCTCGCCTCCTGTGAGACAGAAAATTTCTATTGTCTTACACTCCCCGCATTGTGGCACTCTGTCACGGCAATACTAGGAAGCTCACACAGGGGGAGGCTATCGTGAGTGGTTATTAAGCCAGCCACTGTTAAGTGCAACTGCTTGAAATCATGGGATTGTCCTCCTGTAAGCAACATAAGCAACATGAGCCTCATTTTAGGACAGTCTGGCCACAAGAAGAAAGTCCCTTCTCCTATGAGTCAAGGTTTGCCCCAAAGGGTGTTAACTCTTGCACATTCCTGGTTGTGCACGTGCAAGTCAAGTCTGGTGATACCCTGTGCTTTGGCATCAACACAGAAGCCTGGAAGCAGGAGCCTGAGGCCCGTCACAGAAATGAGGTAAGGCTGTATAAGGCTACGCTATGGAAGGTCTGTCAGAACCAGGCAGAACTGGTTGAAGAAGTGCCATCTGGAACAGGGCAGGTGAAGCTCTGAGGACCTAAAGAGGATTTTTGAGAGGTGCCCTGATACTCAGCCTTAACCAAGCATTTCAAGGGATAGAACAAGGTGCTATGGGATTGAACTGAACCTATGGTGTCTGCCAATACTTTCTGGAAGAAGGAATGCTTAAGCTGAGACCCAAAAGATGAGTGGCCTAATGACCCTGGGAAAGTCATCATAAATCAAAACCTCAAAGTACTTCCTGATTCATCCAAATTTTTTTATAAATTCAATCTAAAAGTATTTAATTTTTTTTTTACTTTTTTTTCAAGTTGCCATCTCTTTTTTTTCTTTTCCAAAATGTCAATGACTTTATTGCTCTTTACTCTTATGAGAGTATGACTTGTTTCATTTAAAAATTTTAATAATACCGAAGAACATAAGCAAGAATGAAGAGCGCTCACAATCCTGATATAAAGATCAAGATGGACTGGGTTATTTGGAAATTGCAGAACCAGGGTGTTAGCCTAGATTGGTCTGAATTCAAAGCCAGACTCTCAGTCACCGTGATGAACATCCTTCTTACTGTGTTGAGAAAAATAGTTTAGTTTTTTTAGTGGATAGTTTGCCTGCTCCAAGGCTGTAACAAACAAAGAAGAATTTGTCTTTTTTATGAAATGGACTCAACGCTGAAAGACAGTAGAGGTTGATCCTTTCTGTGATAGAAGAATAGGAAAAAAATTGTTACAATCACAGAAAAGAAAAACTGTAATGTTTTTAGTGGCTCAAAACCACAAATTTTGTTTTGTTTTCTTACTCAGGCTACATGTCCAAGGTAAATGATTCAAGGACTCAATTTTATATTGTCCTCATGTAGGGCCCTAAGAGGCCACACTTTCAGTCATCAGAAAAGTTGCTGGTTACTGTCGAAGAGTAAGGGAAGCATGGTGGGTCACATACTGGCTTGTCTTCCATCCAGAAGCCACGTGCCACATCACTTCATCTCAATGGCCAAAAGCAAGTCTCATGGCTGGGCCAAACATCCAGGGCATGGAGAAGCCTCATTCTAGAAGAAAGAGAACCAGAACTATTGGTGACCACCACACACAACCATTATTGACATTTATGAGTCAACAATTTGGAGTTGAGGTTTGTTTGTATCTTTATGTGTTTTTGCTGACTTCTGTGGAAGGGAAGATTGAGAGAATAATAAACGGCTAAAAGAAAACCCGTCAGGTGCAATGAAAAATCATGTGCTTTGTGTGGAATTCATACCGCTTCATGCATACTTTTTCAAACTGATGAACATAAGGGTCTTTGAAATTCAAGGTTTTTGACAACAATCTAGATATTTAAATACTCCATGGGTTTTGCTCTCTCTCTCTCTTTCTTTTTTTCACTTTAGCCTGAATGACATTGTGGTTCTTGGACCAGAACAGTTTTATGCCACAAGAGACCACTACTTCACCAACTTCTTCTTGGTACTATTAGAGATTATCATGGATCTTCGTTGGACTTATGTTGTTTTCTACAGTCCAGAAGAGGTCAAAGTGGCAGCCAAAGGATTTAGTTCTGCCAATGGGATCACAGTCTCACTAGACAAAAAGTAAGCTTTTATAATTTTCCAATACTTTGCTCTTGACATTTTAGTGGATTCCTTCCTTTAAGAGGTGTTTACTTCCTTAGGCCTAAGTAGTCACTATATAAGTGGACGGACCAGATGTGGCCAGGATTCACACTCTATGGGTGATCATAAGCACACCATTTGCCCTCTTACATGTCAGGCTCCCCCCCAATGAAATGAAGGATGTGGACTCAAGGATGTGAGGTCCTTGTTTCAATTTATTATGTGACTCTAGAAACACAGTTACCCAACACACTGAAAAGGACAATAAATGCACAATATCTCTGCCCTTTATGAGGCTGAAAGGTGTTTAACCACTTACACGAAGTTGAGTTACCCAAAAGTTCTTTTTAGAGAAGGAGACCTGACTTAGACTGGGCATTGTGATTGTATGAACTTCAGATTTACTGATATACTACAGTAGACTTTTCTATAAGAAAATCCGATTTTATGCAGCATGAAATTCTATGAGAAACTCTTTTAAAGTGTTTTAAAATGGAAGGTTTTTAAAAAAGAAACGTACCCATGAATATTAATATGTGCATTTGAGATAATAGAGATGATCCCTATAGAAAACAACTCTAGCAGCAGCTGGGTGGCTCAGTTGTTAAGCATTAAGCATCTGCCTTCGGCTCAGATCGTGATCCCAGGGTCCTGGGATCAAGCCCCGCATCGGACTCCTTGCTCAGCGGGGAGCCTGCTTCTCCCACTCCCACTCCCCTACTTGTGTTTCTGCTCTCGCTATCTCTCTCTCTGTCAAATAAATAAATGAAATCTTAAAAAAAAAAAGAAAACAACTCTAAGTGTTCTTCCTCTTTTTAAAAATGATTGTGATTGAGCCTCATGGTTATCTGATACTTCTTTGTAAGCACTAGTTATTTTGTGGAAGTATAGACTCTTTTGACCATATAATAAAGAGATCTGCTTACCTCCACCCAATTTAAGGAAAAAATTGTGACTCCTAAGTCATGAGACTGAGCTTATATGTCACCTAGAAACATCAAGGTCATTACTTTAAAGTCACATCTCATATTTAAAGCTTACTTAAAGCTCTTGAAGAATACTAAAAGTAAGACTGTATTATCTTCTTGTCCTGTGGTTTAGAAAGACATTGCAGTGGCACTTGGAACTCTTGTGAATTGTTAGACTTCTCCTCCAAAGTAAAAGTTAATGTCATCTTTCAATATTACTTGCTTACATGTAAATGCTATTTACTTCAAAGGTATATCTATGCAGCTGATATAACTGCTCAGAACATTCATGTACTGAAAAAACATGAGAACTGGGATTTAACTCAAGTGAAGGTAAAAGTCCCCTGGCTTGCCCACCCAGCATGGCCTCTTAGATCGGCTCCCATGCCTGACCTAGGAATGTGCTCTTTGAATGCAGGAAACATGACTATTTTAGAAGAATATTGGTGAGATTGTGCTTGCACTTCTAAAATTCAGTAGTAAGGCCCTTAAAAAGACCCCTTTCAGGAGCCAGAAGGAGCTGATGGGAGGGAGGAGTGGTAGAGAAGAAAGTTGAAACAATGTCTTTATATTTCCTCTTTGTTGGAAGGTAATACATCTGGGCACCTTCGTGGATAACTTAACTGTGGATCCGGACACCGGAGATATTTGGGCAGGATGCCATCCCAATGGCATGAAGCTGCTGATCTATAACCCTGAGGATCCTCCAGGGTCCGAAGTAAGTTCCTATACTTCTCTGAGCTCACAGGCAAAGCTGCAAGAACAATTTGTTGAGGTGACTTGGGAGAATTTAGTGGGTCATATGCGGTATTCCAGAAATGAACAAGTTCTGCATATAGAAAAAGCAGAGATTTGGGCAGGATGGGGAGATACAGCCCATTAACCTTTTCAGGTGTTCTGGTGACAGTTTAACATCAGTGCTAGACAACATGTCCCATCCTTGCAAGGGCTGTACTTGCTATTGGGAAGAATAGATAAGTAGGAGCTTGATTATTCACATTGACCTAGATAGCCATATCATATTTCCAATCTGAGAAGGGCCTGAAGTTAGACAAAGAGAGAGTCCTATGTGGGGCTACCTTTTTTCACACTACCTACTACGAAGCTCAAAAGAAAGGCTTTAAACAACTGTAGTCTGAAAACAAAATTAGTTTTTCCAGCAGGTTCTAATATATATGATAGTGTTGAAGACTGTCTCATTTTAAAGATGCTATTTGTGTTACTTAAAATCTCTTCTAAAACAGCAGTCCCTGGGTGATTAGTCGGTTAAGCATCTGACTCTTGATCTCAGCTCAGGTCTCAATCTCAGGGTCGTGAGTTCAAACCCTGTGCTGAGCTCCATGATGGGCATGGAACCTACATAAAAAAAGAAAAAAATATCTTCTAAAACAGTAGCATACATCATTGAATTTTATATGGCATTAAAAACAAGAGCAGAATTTTCTATAGCATTGAGTTTAAGAATAACAGATCTCTAGTAAATTCAATATAGATATAAATTCTTGGTACACATACTCTGAGAGATTAATTCACAAAAATTTATTGAGTGCTTATAATGGGCCAAACTTTGTTCTAATGCCTGGAACGTGTCAGAAAACAAAACATACAAAGATCTCTGTTCTTCTGGAGGGGGTATTGACAATGAAAAATAAGCGTAAGAAAAAAGTAAATTATATAGCAAGCTTGAAGATGGTAAGTTCTATGGGAAAAAAAGTATAACAGGGTAGAGGGGATCAGGATTGCTGTGAACAGGGGGATGGGCTGTCCTATTATTAAATAGAGAAATCAGGGTTAGGCCTCATTGAGAAGGTAAGTTTTGGAGAAAGATATAATGTTTGAATCTAGATTTGGGGAGTTGGGAAATTGAGATTCAAACCCTAGTCTGGTAATTGGCCCTGGTAACATACCCTTATTTCTGCTTCCAATATTGCTCTTCCTCAGTTAAAAAGAAAAAAAATTGTTTCTCTATTTTATTAACATATTAGTCACAGCTTCTTAAAAACAAACAAACAAACAAGCAAAAACTCCAAAAAATATAAAGAGAAACAAAAGTTCAGTCTGAGCCTAGAGCCTAAGGAACTGTTACCCTAAGCTAGCAATCTACCTTGGTTTCAGATACATGCCCCCAAAAGTGAGACGTATTACTTTTTTGCAAACACCCAACAGTGTCTGCCATAAGATAATGAAAATATGATCCATAGCATGTTTAGAAAATTGTTTAGAATCTTTCTCATGTCTCTATTTTCAAGTTCATCATAGGTTTATTTTAGATAGGACTTCTTCCTTCACAATCAATGACACCCTTCATTTGTGGTTCAGGCTAAACTTTTCTACATGAGTTCCAAGTTTGAGTATTTTCATGTAACAAACCTGAGATGAAGTTACAGGATCTTTCTTAAGACGAAAAAACAAAACTCAACTAAACTCTATTCTTAGTAAGTGTTGATACATATTCATGACTCATGAATTTCTAATTGGTTTTAATTCCTATCATGTCCTATTTGAGTGAACTTCATCCAGGCTATTTAGAAAACTGCGCACTTTTATGTTTACTGATGAGCAAACTAAAGCGTGTTAATCTTGAGGATCAATAACAGTAGTAGGCGGGATGTGTCAGATTGAATTCCAAAGTATGCATTCTTTATGCTTCCTAGCCACGTTATGGATGCGAGGGGGGGTTCCAGCTGGGACAACTACCATCCTACTGATTACGAGGTCAGGTTGGCTTGCTAACTGGTGTCCCTTCATCCTCTCTGTCCTGTGTTTCCCTCCCCACACAGTAGGCCTAGTCAAAGGCAAGACCCTTCCTACAGAGGAACACTATTCACTCAAGAATTAGATAAGAGCACCCACTGGTTCTCACCTCCTTCTTCTATAGGAGATGCCTTGAACTATCAAAATTGTGTAAACAATCTTGTTGGGGAATCTGGCGAATGTCAGATCACCAGTTCACTTGACTGCATAGATATAATTAGAACATTAATACTTTCATCAGAATACCAAAAAAAAAAAAATTGTACACAAATTTCACTGTATTGATTTCTGGGAAATATATTAGTCCTGGAATATTTGAGAAGAAAATGTCACTGGCAGCTGTTTGCTCATACAGCAACTGATGAATAATCTTTTCTTGACAGGTACTTCGCATCAGGAACGTTTTGTCTGAGAAGCCTAAAATCAGCACCGAGTATAGCAATAACGGCTCCGTGATTCAGGGAAGCTCCGTGGCTTCTGTGTACCACGGAAAACTGCTCATAGGCACGGTATTCCACAAAGCTCTGTACTGTCTCTTCTAGACTCCAGACATTCCAAGAAGTCTTGTCAACCAATGAAAGACAAAATGGCAAGCAGCAAAATAAATGCATTTATTTGGGGTCTTCGGGATTGCAAACATGGGAGACGTAGATTCAACTAGAATTGAGAGCGTGCCCCAGAGAGACAAAGGAGGTTAGAGTTTTTAAAGAGGAAAGAGGGAATTTATGTGAGTTGTTTGAAGAAAAGGTGCTTGGGGTTGGTATAGCTACAGTGACACTAATCTATGTGTGAATGGTTGGTAGGGCAGACAGAAAGTCCATTTATGTCCATCTTAACACCTAGTAGATGCCTTGGCTATTAGCTGAGTTTAGCAAAAATTCTGAGAATTTGATACAGAACATGGGTGCATAAGCCCCACCTCCTCGACGTCTTCCCGGCTCCCTTTTAAATAACTTTCTTAGTAATGGTCACTCAATTTTATTGTCTCTGTTGTCAGTCTACATGTTTGGTAAAAATAAACCTGTAATTAGGGGCACCTGGGTGGCTCAGTCGGTGAAGCAGTGAAGCGTCTGCCTTCAGCTCAGGTCATGGTCCCAGGATCCTGGGATCGAGCCTGGCCTCAGGCTCCCTGCTCAGGGGGAGTCTGCTTCTCTCTCCCTCTGCCTCTTCCCCAGCTTGTGCTCTCTCGTTCTCTCCCTCACTCTCTCTCTCAAATAAATAAATAAAATCTTAAAAAAAAAAACCATAATTATATGATAAGTGGAATTGTACATAAATGACAAACACCAATAATAGTGTGCCCGGCTTTTCTTATGTGAAGAAGCCTAGCGATTACATAATATCCACTAAGTCCCAAGTCAAGTGAGTGACAGTCCAATAAGAAGCCAAACTTCTCAATGCTTTTTGTCCAGTATCCCCGATATTCTTTCTACAGTAAGATGTGTAAGCTGTGGTGAGCGAGGTATCCAGCTCACCCAGGGCTCCTCGCTAACCATGAAGCAAAACTACCTCCTACATCTGATGATCTGAGACTCCAGCTCAAATACTGACAATTCCCCTTCTCTTCCTTTGATTGTGCTAGGCACAAACTGCCAGTCAAGTGCCTAGGCCATGGATAAAAGCAAGAATTGGCACCATGAAACTGCCCAAAGCCCTCTTAAAACATGCAGTCTCTCCAGTACACACAGGAAATTAGATTCTGGAAAATCTGATGGAGACCGGTCTCACTGGCTACCTTAGGGTAGAACGGGGCTGATCTGTTCCTTTGTAACAAACAGGTCTTTATGTGTAGTGCTATCCGTGTCTAAAGTACTCGAATCAGCTTACCTCTAAATCATGGGATGGGGCCTTAGGGCTATGACCTTCAACTGCTTTAAACTTTCCCTCTGGTTAATTCAATACACACCCTATTAAGCAACATCCCACAGACTTCAACCTATAAATCAGAATTAAATAATATGGCTTTGGCTTAAAGTCCTATCTTAAGGACCAACTCAACCTTAGTTTGATGAGAATAAATAGAAATGTCCTGTTCCTGGTCAAAAACCAGGACAATCTTTAGCAAATCACTAATGGGAGTCAGTCTGCCCAAGCACCCCACCCTTTTCTTTTGTGACTTCCGCTGGGGAGTAGTTAGTTGAATTTTCTCCCCCCTCTCTTCGGGATGGGGAATTGAGGAGGTTTCTTTATTTCCTAACAATTTTTGCTCAATTAGGTCTAAATTTTGCTTAAAATTTTGTATCGGGGAAAAATTCTACTATGTAGCCCATGCAACCCTTTCTGATTTAGGCAGTAAGACTGTAGTTTCCATTGATTCAGGGAAGGGATGACCCAGCAAAATGTTCCAGTCAGTTCTTAGATTTTAAGTTTCAAAAGCCTAATCATCAGAGAGACACAGAAAAAAACTATGAGCAATAACTAAGATACAGTCAATTTGAAAAAAAAAAAAGGTATTATTCTCTGTCCCTAACCCTTACACCCAATAGATTATATACAGTTTATCAGACTAAAGGGAACATGGAAAGCCAGAGATTGGATGACTAAGGGCATTTAGATTCTGGTGGGTTCCTGAGAATTGGCCCTGCCCTGCCTTCTCCCCAGGCCAACTTAGAAAAGGCTGGATGATAAAACCCCCACAGACATTTGGGGGATCTGATTGTTGAAAGACCAATGTGTCCTTTCACAGAGAGGGCTTAGGAAAGTCACAAGACTCGGGGGTTCTCTTTCATGTAGGTGAAGGAGAATGAATAGAAACGTCCCATTCCTGGTCAAAAACCACAATCTTTATGTGATTATCTTGAACCTCTTCTGTCACTTGGTGTGGGAAGGAGGGGGATTGTCCCTCCTAATAAATGCTGCATTTTGATGACTTATTCTCTGGTCTCTCTGTTTAAATTGTCAGAGATGTGTCTAGGGATATAGCTGGTGATTAGGGGTAGTTTAGCTCAAGAAGGAAAATAATAAAGATAAGAGCAAAAACCTATATGATAGCCAGAGCCAAGATGGCCCCCAAGGATCCTTACTTCCTGGTATTCATTCCCTAGCATAGTTCTTCCCACACCAAATATGGCTGTCCCCTGTCATTAATAGGATATTCCAGAAATGATGATATGTGACTGTCAAGGCTAGATTATATAAAAACATTACCATTTTGACCTTGCTCACGAAAATTGTGCATCATGATAAAAGTTACTGACTGTTTTAAAATGCTAAGCTCTGGAGTACTTTGTTATAATAATTAGTCAACTAATGAAACAGGAAACCATGTATAATGTAGAGATTCAACAAAAGCCAAAAAGTTCATTCTTTAAAAAGATTAATAAAAACTAATACACATTTGGTGAGACTTATCAAGAAAAAGAATGGCTCAATTATCCAGTGTCAAAAATGAAAAATAAGACATGCAGATTCTATAGACATTAGAGAGATAAAAGGAGTTGATGAACTACTTTATGCCAACAAATTTGAAATTTTTATGAAAAAAACAAACTCCTAAAAAGAATATAACACTCTATTAACTAGGCTAAGACTAAACTATTATGTAGAGCAAAAATCCAATGCCTTTTTAAAAAATGTGTGTTTATTTGCCTTTCATTTTCCAGTTCTTAGGAGAGTGATTGATGGGACAGCTTCCCTTGATGTGGCCATTCAGAGACATCACTGGTCGGGATCTTGCAGGAAAGAGAAGACACACTCCAACAAGGCTATTGAAGGAAACTCTTTAAGGGGACTATTGACACAAGAGTAGGAAGGTTAAGGGAAACGAACAAGGTACAATAAAACACCCCAGTGCTAGCAACGGAGAGGGAGAGATGGGGAGTGAGGGTGGGGGAGGCGAAGGACTCTTTCTAACTCTAGGTTTGAAGGAACAAAGTGTCGAAGCAGCTACTAAAATCAGAAGAGAATAGATAAAGTAGAGACTATCGCAAAAGATGCTGTGGCCATTGGTAGAAGGAGGCAACCACCCTGTGACAACTCAGCAGAGAGAAACAGAGGAAATAATGATCTTGACTTAACTCCCCTTCACCCTCCCAACTAGAAGACAGAAGACAAGGGAGCTATTAATGGAGCCCATAAAGCCTCCAGGATGCAGAGCAATGGGGAGTTGCATAGAGGGTGGATCTTGAGCATCATGTTGCTAAACCATTGTTCCCAAGGAGATTGCAGTTATCTGCATGGTGAAAGCTAGGTCACCACCACAGCTGTGTCCATCAAACTGGAAGGAGAAAGAGGAGAGAGGATGTCAAGGAGAAATACCCGGTGTCTTAAGACCCAGGACTAGAAATGGTAGTCATTACTTCTTCTCCCCTACTAATAGTAGGAACTAATCACGTGGCCACATGTAACTAATGACAAGGAAAATTGAGTGATGTCATATGACTGGAGAGGCATATGTTCCAGGAGAAAGGAAGAATACATTTTAGGGAACAATTACTAATCTGGGCCATGGTCCACCCTTCAGCCACTAAATATCCCTCTCCACCCTTCTCCCTTGCCAAGGAACATAAACTAAATTTCTATCCAATTTCTGTATCCAGCTCAAAGCACAGGACCTTCTGGGTGACGTTTTGACCTCTGCATTAGGTCCATATATGGCTGCATGTGGCAGCCCAGAAAATAAAATTATTGCCCCATACACACATCCAATTACAATAATTGAATATGAACTAAAACACTCCTAGTGAAAGAAAGGAGGACTGGAAATACACTCAGCTCTGGAACAAGGAGATTATCCCACCAGAGAGGAGTTGAGAAGATGCCCTGTCTTGGCAGTGATGTACTTTCCTGTGTTCTGTTATTCCAAATTTTGCCCCTTGGGAACGTGTCCTAGTGCTTTATGCTTTGAGGCCACATCTGAAGTGGATTTTGGAAAGACTGTAATTTTAGTAGCCCCCTTCCTACAGGTATTGGTTTGAGAGTCTGAGGACATTTTCAGGCCAGGCTTTTGGTTGCTTTTGAAATGTAAGTATCTAAGAAACCCGATAGGCTTCTGCCTCTGTTTTCATTCAGTGCCATGTGCCAACAACAACATGCTCAGATTTCTTTTTGGAACATTGTTTTTAAGCCCACTTTACTTGCTGGTTTCCATGTCTATCCATTGCTCTCATTTATATGCTGTCTCCTTTGAGGCGATCTGAATAATGGGTAAAATGAGGCCATACATCAATATAATCTTCCACAGTACTAGATCCCTTAGCTTTCCTAATTGGGAAAAGCTACGAGTTATAGCAATCCTACCTCCTGCTGTTGGGGCACAGAACCAAATTTCTAGACCGTCTCAATAGTCTTCTGCTTTATGTCCACCAGTTTCTACCTGAGCACATATTTTCTTACTCTCCTCTATTACAAACATCAAAGAACAACCAACACACATCAATATTCTTGTTACTCTGTGGTTAAGGGGCCAGCCTTTCAGATGACTGCAGGAGACAGTTTTATTATACATTTTTGTGATGACATTATAAGGGTCTCCGATTTTGCAGCCTGTGATATCTGTTTCCTCAACTCTAGTCTAACCACATATTTAAAATTATTCTTAGAAACCCATTTCTAGGTTCAAATTTCTATATTTCTAAGGTCATGTTAAGCTATTATAACAAAGGGACCCCAAATATACTGGCTTAAAGAATACAGACATTGCTAAAAGGTAGTCCAACATAGTGGGTGAGAGCACAGATTGGGGAATCCAATTTTCTGGATTTGAATCCCAGTTCAGTTGCTTACTAACTGTGCAACCCTGGTCTTGTCTGAGTCTCAGTTTTATTATCTTTAAAACTAAGGTAATGGGGTGCTTAGGTGGCTTGCTTGATTGGACGTCTGATTCTTGGTTTCAGCTCAGGTCATGATCTCGGGGTCGTGGGATGGAGCCCTGTGTTGGGCTCTGCGCTTGGCATGGAGTCTACTTGAGATTCTCTTCCTCTTCCTATCTCCTCCCCCTGCTCTCTCTCTCTCCCATAAATAAATAAATAAAATTGAGGTAATAATAGTAACTACCACCTAGGATTGGTAAGAAGATTAGAAGAGTTAGTATATGTAAAACTTAGCAGTGCTTATTGCATGCCAGGGTTATATAAGTGCTTGCTAATTTAAAAAATACATCTTTAATCTCTTTCACATAAAAAAACTGCAGATGAGTGCTCCTGAGACAGATCATTTTGAAAATTCAAATCCTTGTGGTACTTCAGGGGCCTAGCAGTTTCCATGCAGTTGGCCTTTGTTCGGTAGAGCATTGTCGTCTTCATGGTCAGTCATCATATTGGGTTGCATCACATGGAAATGGGAGAGAAATGGCTTACCAAATGTGTGCAGGCTCAACCTGGAAATGGCACAAGCTGCTTCCACTGACATTCTCTTAAGAAGAGCATAGTCATGTGGCTATACCTAATTGAAAGCAAGGCTGGAAAATTTAGTTTCGCTGGGTAGCCCTGTGCCCAGAAAGGAGGGCTTTATGTAGGTAGCTAGTGTCCTCTACCATAGGACCTTAAATGGACTCGAAAAGAGTTTGGAAATCATAATTCTATACTCATTATAGGAATTAGTTAGTAATAAAAAAATCATCACATTAAAAGAAACTAAAAACCAGAGACAATCAAGTGTTGATAAAGTTGAAATGGATAAATAAATTACAGTAAATCCATACAGTAAAATACTATCTAGCCATCTATACCACAGTTAGAGCCAAATGGAATGACGTGGATGAATTCCACAAATAATGAACACAAATGTTGAGCTAACAACAACAACAAAATGAATACAAGTAGTATGCTTTTATTTGTGGAAAATTCCAAGAGAAGCAAAATCAAATAATGTTGTTTGAGGATGCATGCATAAGTTATTAAGTTAAAGAATAGAGAGGTGATAGTTATCACAAAAGTTAGGATAGTGGCTGCCTCTAGGGAAGGGGGGGATTATGGTCAGGGAATGATACATGGAGAAACTTCTGGGGTACTGACAATATCATATTTCCTGACTTGAATGGTGGTTTCATTGCATTTCTTTTACAATCATTCTATAACTGTGTATATATATATATTTTTTTTCATAGATCTCAGGCATATACAATATATCTCACAATAGATTTTTCATGCATAAGAAAGAGGTAAGTTGACCTCAAAAAATAAAAATGAAGGGCAGAAGTTGGCCTAACAATAAAAACAGTTTAGTATTTGTGAAAGAAAAAAAAAAACACACACACACACAAAAACAGGTAGATCAACGGAATAGAATAGAGATCTCAGAGATATTTCTCTTTGGGGAATTAATATTAGATAAAGTTAGCTGTACCAATTAATAAGTAAGGGATGTTTGCTTAGGAGATGACATTGGGAGAATGGATTTGCTCTATGGAAGGAAATAAAACTATGTCCTACCTAACATCACCGGGTAACTCCCAACAGGTGTATATAACCTTTGGAGTTAAAAGAAGACAATGTAGGAGAGTATCTTTATGACCTAAGGGTAGGGAAGGACTTCTAAAAAAAATTTTCAAAAATATAAATCTTATGATAAAGAAGTTGGTTGAATTTGAGTCATCAAAATGAAGAATTTCCATTCAGGGAAAGGACCACTGACAAAGATAATAGACAAATATCAGAATAAGAAATATTTGCAATGTCAAACTGACAAAGTATTATTAAGTGCAATATATTAGGAACTCTAGAAATAAAAAAGTGGAGATAGTGACCCCAAAGAATCAGAGGCAAATGGTATGAAGAAGAAATTTACAGAAGAAGGGGAAGAAATGAAGCACATGAAAAGATGCTCAGATGTTCAGAATCCTTAGTAACTGGAGAAGTGTCATTTAAAACAGCACTCTAGGGGCACCTGGGTGGCTCAGTCAGTTAGGTGGCTGCCTTCGGCTCAGGTCATAATCCCAGAGTCCCGGGATCCAGCCCCACATTGGGATCCCTGCTCAGTGGGAGTCTGCTTCTCCCTCTGACCCTCCCCCCACTCGTGCTCTCTCTCTCTCTCTCTCTCACTCTCTCTCTCTCAATAAATGAATAAAATATTAAAAAAATAAAACAGCACTCTAAATGGCTTTGTACCTATTAGACTACCAAAAATTAAAAGGCTCATATTGTCGAGTGTTGATGGTGTGGTGTAGATACAGGGGATATAGGGAACTTCACTCACCTTTGGTGGGAGTGTAGATGGTTGCAGGCACAATAGGTGGATCGAAGAATCACAAGGACTGTAGGCTTCAGAACCATGTCTGTAGTCAAGGTCCACACCAGCAAACTAGAGGCTTGCAATACAGACTCTTTCCTCCGTTGGTTTCAAATTTTTATCTCACCAAAGCCATT